CGAGCAAATGCAAATTTAACGTTGAGTTGTGCACAAAGCAAACGCAAAATCAAATAAAAAATTGTAGGTTTTGTGTCAATATAGCATTTTATTTGTGTTTATTTGGCGTTGACTTTTATGATAGTATGGAGTGTAGTTTAGTTTGCGTTTAGTTTTAAAATTAAATAGATTTGCGTTTACTTTTCAAAATTAAACACAAATATTTAGTATTTTTTTTGCAAAGCCGACCTCAACCAGCCATTAGTCAATTTTATGTCTTCGAAATATTTTAATTTTAGTTAGTATTTGCAATATGTATTTTTACATTATAATAATTTTATAAAATTATAACACTGAATACTATAGTATGTAGTATAGTATTCATTGTTATTTTAATGTCCATTTTCAGAGAAAGCAAAGTAAAGACAAATAATATGCCGAAAAGAGACGAGGATATAAAGTAAAAGAGTAGTAAAGTAAACAACCTGGTTTAGACATGTATGCATGCAATCCGAGAACGTTGTTGGAACGTAACTGACACTAAAAAAGTGTTTCACATTTTAGTCACTTCCACATAATAGAACCGTTTCTACCACGTGGCAGAGATTTTGGCAATACACTTTACAGTTCCAAGACCGATACGTTTTATCCACAAAACATGCTACTTGGGTACCTTCGTAGATATGGATAGTGTTACCCCAAGATTTTTTTTTTAAATATACCTATTTTTTGTAATAGCAAATTTATATTTATATTACTTGGCATTAAAACATAAAAATTGGTAGATCTCACGGATTTGTTATAGCAAGCACTTTTGACCTCGACCCCTTTCGATTTGGCTAAAATCTTTATGATATACTGTTGAGTAAACGACTATACCACAGAATAAAGAACAAAGAACAACCAGAAGCGACACTTTTTAAGCCGCCTTTGAAGTTTTATTGTTCAATTTGGATGACCTTCAGCCATTTTGTTGGTGTTACTCATAGCGGCAAATTTAAAACTATCCACATTGGGAAGAATTAAATATTTATAAAAACAAATATTAAACTATGCACAACTTTATTATTATTATTATTTTTTATTAATATTATTAAAGTAAACAAATTTTTTTGTTATAACATAAAACATTAAAACCACAAGAAAAAGTATAACTATAAAAACCTTATTAAAATTAAATATATAGGTATATTATATTATATTATATATTATAATATATTATTATTATAATAGTATACATAAAATTAAAGTTAATAAATACCTTTCCGGGTCCTTTGGAAATCTAAAGAAACAGATTGTCTTTCTGAGAGTATTATTATGACATCCAGGCACTGCACACACAGTTCCACCTTTAATTGAGGTTTTTTCTTCCATTATACACTCGCTTGGCAAAACCACAAAAAACGATCAAAAATACTTAAGATAAACTTTACAAACACAATTTGAGGTTAATAAAAACACGATGACATATAACACCAAGAAGATGGCGGCGACGAGCAGATTTGGTTTTGGCGGGAGATACAAGTGTCGCTTCTGGTTGTTCTTTATTCTGTGACTATACTATGTAAAGCTGCTTACCCCGTTGTATGCCATAACTAGTTATGGCATACAACGGGGTAAAACAGCTGTTAGATCTCAAAAATCCCATGCCAATGCACCGAACAGAATGAAACTTGTGAAAAGTTTGTGTCCCCAAACAGAGTTTATCACCCCACTACAAACGTTTCTGTAATTTTTTTAGTTAAAATCAGTGCTCTTCCAAGTCTTAATAGAAACATTAAATTAGTGCATTAAAAAGCAATCCCTCAACAAGTACAGTCTGGCTACTATAAGTTGGCGGAGCAAAGGAATGTGCATGCAGTTAAGATAATTAATATTAAAAAACATACCTACTTAGTTTTATACTATGTTTTTTACTATTATTTATATGCATAAAATATATTGTATTTTTATTTATAATATAAAAAAATTGTTTTAAAAGCACACAACACGACAATTGTTTAATAACTAAATAACTTAATTCATTTGGTTCGCCAACTTATCGTGGACAGACAGTAATACAGTAAAGACCATACGGACACGGAAGAAATTAAGTGACAGCATACCTGGCGAACTAACCACATGCCAATATAAATCACCCTAGGTACAGAATAAACGACTCTAACCAAGAGTGGAAGGTGGCATCATCAAACTTAACAAAACTAAAATAAACAACTTCCTCTTTTAATACATTGAACAAGCAAGGGATTAAGAAGAACCTAAACACAGAAAAGTCAATGCAGTCATAAAAAGGGCAACTAACGACAACTAAGGATTACGTACAGTGACTGCGCTGCAGTAGGGTAAAATAATTCGTGTATATCTATGTTAGTAGGTAAATAACGACTGGCTAAACAGCTGCATATTATGAAGTCGGGACTTGGCATGAGGGGTTGAATTTCCACCAAGGCAGAGGGCACTGCTAACGGCTTGTCGTTGTCGGCAACACTTCGGTACTGAAGACAAGATACAGTATCTCACAGGGTGGCAAACAATTCTAAAGTGGTTACCGATTTTTCAGCATAATTTCAGCAGTTGCAAGGACGCAGACGGACAAAAAGTAACACAATAAACACGATAGTTTTACAGCATATTAACCAACCAAGCCCCCTTCATAAACCCCAACTTGGACAGACACAAACGAACAGGAAGTACTACTAGACCAGTAAGGATAAGTCAAATCAGCGTACTAACCAACCAAACTAAATTCCTGGTTAAGAGGGACTCCGGATTGTACTTAGGTTTGGGTCACTTTAATGTTCCCCAAAAACCAAAATGTTTTCCCTCCTTGTCCTGCACTCCACTAGCCTAAATAGGGCATATGGCCTGGCGAAAAAATTCCGGGAGGGGCCATAACCATCGACACTGTCATCCACGACCTCGTAGGGGAGAATTACCCGCCGGGATAATCGGATTCATCAAACACAGCAGTGGCGGCTGGTTCTAAAGGGCACAAGGGCACGTGCCCACCCAACCGTCCAGATAAAAAGTATTAAAAAAAAGTAAAAGTAAATAAAGTAAAGTTATTTGTTGCACTGTTCAAAATTTCATGACCATTTTAAGACCAAATTAACACCATACGTGGTCTATATCGATACAAACCAAAATGGTGTTAAATAAGGTTCGTTGGCCGGTGTAAATTCAAATACTAAAATGGTGTTAATTTAACTTTCACACAGTATTAAAATAAATTTTACCTGGTGTAAATTGAACTCCTTTTCAGTGTTAAATATTATGTGTTTGTGGTCAAATTAAATCATACTACACAGAAAAAAGGAAAAAAAAAGGAAACAGGAAGTTCCTTGACGCATTACTGGTATATTCCCAGTGGTATTATTCCAGAAAATGGAACCTTCAACTCGCTAGAGATAATGTTTTTAATGCGTTCCACTAACTTAAAATACTTCCAGTATTGACAGCTTTTTCCACCTATTTAAGGCCTCTTTAGTATCGAACAACTTTTAGTGTCACACCAAAGCAAAGGATCACCTGAGTTTATATATTCTTCATGTAAGTCAACAGAGGCGAGATTTAAGAACATCACGTGATCCACACCGCCTTTGCCGCGATCGGTACACATTTTTAACCATAATTCATGGTGTTATATTAACACCACTTGGTGTTGGATTTTGACACCATTTTTGGATTACTTTTTACACCACAGATATTTTAAACAATGTGCATTGGGCATTATTTTAGTTATACGTAACACCATTGTAATTACTATTTAAGGATGGTCTCAAACCTTCCTTCCGCCCGCTTAAACAGTTGAATTTAAACCTTCTTTCCGCAACGCTCCAGCGCGCGCCACCGGGGCACAGTTTGAAATATACCTATTCCGAGTATGATTCGGTGATCTTCGGTTATCCTTTCAGTACGCGAATATATCGTCAATTTGGGTGTGTCGCTTCAACCGCTCAGCTGTTATCTGTGTCAGTTTGTTTGATTTCTAACTTTTTTGTCACCGCGCGCCGTTGTTTTTAGTTTTAGTGAATTACGTGTTTTGTTTTTTAAATAAACTTTATTTTTTATAAGTTGTGTTTAAAAAGCCCGATGTCATTTGAAGATAAACTTTTAATTAAAAAAAAAGCAAGACATATTCCCGATCTTCGAATACACTACATTTCCACAGGTAAAGGCCGAACTTACAATAGAGTATTCAACAGAAATATCTATGAAAAATACGAGTGGATAGGCGGATGTACAGTAACCAATAAGCTTTTTTGTTTTATGTGCTTAATTTTCAAAAAAGAAAAAGTTACGTGCGTGGAATAAACATGGGTTAGATGATTTAAAACACATCGCAGAGAGGGCTAAGAAATACGAAAATTTAGTTTCTCGCATGAGAAATAGGAGAATGGACTTAATGTACAAAAATTAGTAGGTAAGTTTTTTGTGCCCACCCTCTTACAGAACCTACAAGCCGTCACTGAAAAACAGGTAATGCTGTGCAGTTGCGAGATACGTAGAACTGATGATAAAATACCCCTGGAAGATCGGTATAAGGCGATGCCGATGGGGCCAGCCATACGTTCCTTATACTTATACAAAGTTAGCCTTCTATGGAATATGTGGAATACAAATAATTAAAAAAAATTTCTCGATTAGTAAAAAACATTTGAGCATTTGACAAAAACCACCATTTTTTTAAACTTCAGTTTTTTATAATAATTTGTAAAAGTTTTATTAGTGGGATAGTAGGTATAACATAAAAATTTCAGCCAAATTGTAAGGGCCTATATAGGGTATACCCCTTCAAAAGTAATCGATTTGGCGTGGAATAACCAATATATTCGTTCACATTGATGTGTGAAGAATCTCCATTGAAGATTTATGAGGTGAGTAAAAATGGACAACAAGAGTTGGACCTCTCATTTGCGTGATAAAGTTCTATAGTTGTATAAATATGTGATTAATTAATATCAACGATATTAAATTTTAAATAAATAAAGTTTATTTAAAACAAATAATTATAATACAATAATTTGTTTATTGAGCTATAAAGGTGGCCTTAAAACATTTAAAAGATTTTTTATAACTGCTATAGTACACATTAAGTGATTCGATAATAGAACATACATAAATTAAAGTATTAAAAAAATATTTAGTTAAAAATTCTGACTAATGTTCCCTTTTTATCGGAGGTTAATTTATAATCTTTCGCTCCGCCACTGATCATGGTTTCAACAAAAATGTCGGACTTGGAAATGATGGTGGTATATCCAATAGCTACACTCCAGTTTCCTGGGTGTTTAGCTTGAAACAGTTCCAAATAAGCTTCACCAACTAAAGCTTCATCGGCGTAGATTTCATAGGCTTCTTTAAGACATTCTACGGCATTGACCGTGTATGTAATGCTTGGAACTTGAGTGTTGTTTGTAGCTTGAATCTGAAATAATTTATTAATGTTTAATGACGTTTGTGCCGTAAAATTAGGAGATGATTAATAAACATATTTTAATAAAAAAAATTAAGATTTCTTTAACACTTTTTTTGGACATGCAGTTCAAATGTGCATCCATATTTATCCATTATAAATAATCAAATTAATATTGTTTATTTACTTTAAAAACAACTTACTGTGACTACTGCCCCCAATTTATTTAAAGATACAGCCGAAGCACAAACGATCAGTAAAGCTGCAAAAATTACTTTTTGGCAAACCATAATTATGTTTATATTTTAAGTAAGTAGGTATTATAATAAACTATTTTAATAAAAGTTTAATAGATTAACTTATACTTTTATACTAAAACAAAAGTACCCCCAGCATTGAATTTATACGTAGTAAACACTTATATTAAACACTTATTAAAATTGTTGTTGTCATGTTGGAAATCCATAAATTGTTTCCATAGATCAACAGGTGATTAAAGTTTTTATCACTAATTTTAAAATAAGTTATCTTAAGTTTACTTTAATTAAATTTTTATTATTGAATTTGATATATAATTTGATATAAAATTATAATTAAATATATTTTAGGTAGAACGCCAATTTGTACTAAACTTTTTTTATAAAATTGTTTGTTTAAACTATTCCAAAAGGGATTTTTAAAATAAGTTTTGTTTTTCAATAAAACTTTAAAAAACCACTATTATACATGGGTATTTAAAAAACAAACCAAAATCGTCAACTGTAAGAAATGTTAATATTTCAAACACCATATATGGCCCTATAGGGCCTTTCCATCTCAAATTGACCAGGCAAAAAGGGGTGGGTCGTTATTTTTTATCGACATTTTTTCTGCCGTAATCAATGAGACCCGTATTTTTTCTTTTTGCTTAAATTTGTTTTGTTCACCCTCAGGAAATTTTTGAAAAATGGACAGAAACATTGATTTTTCTCTTTTTACGAGTGACATTTTTTATTGAAAATGCGATAACGGCCAAAAATGTTTAGATCGTTAAATTTTTTTTTAATTGTTTGTAAATGTTTACTAAATACCAAAAAAATTAAGTAAATTTACTCATTTTTTTTTATTGTTTTTTTTTCAAAAAAGAAAAAACAATTTAGGTCAAAATTTTGAAATTTTTTTTACTTTATATTTTTTTATTTTGAAGTTAATAATAATAGGAACAACTTTTTACCAAAAGTCCCAAGTTGGCTAAATTCGTCGTTTCGGAATTATTATTTTTTTAGTGAAAATGTCATTTTCTAGTAAATTCGTGGTTCATCGCAAAAATTTGGTATTTTATCTAGGGTCATGAAACTGGGAAGACCTTTATAAAGTGTTATTTAGAATTTTGTTCCATATTTAACATATTTTTGTCACTCCCGGTATAACCGGAAATGGTCTTGACTTTTTATTTTTTAATGAAACACACTGAGTCAAGCCACGTCAAGTGGGACCAGAAAATTTCACGAAATCAACGATTTTAAAAATAATCACATTATTGTGTAGTAGGCATGACGCATATGTCATAGTAAAAAAATTGTTTTGAAATTTGATTTTTTAGTAATGTTATTAAAGTTAATAATTTTGTCAAACTTTAGAGCATGGTAAAATTGAAAAAATAGAATCTCCAGGACCACTTTGTATAATTGAATAAAATTTTACACACTATTGTAGCAATGTTTAGACTTTTAAATGATCATTTGTTTAAATAAAAGGATTTTGCATACATTTATTATAAACAATTGAAATTTTGTATGTATGTGATCTTCACGTTGAAAAAAAATTAATCTTGTGTCATAATATGCGGAAAACGTTCCCGTTTAATAAAATGTACTCAAAAATTTGGTCATTCCGGAGATATTAATTTTTTTCTCCCGCTGTGCGCTTGAGCAGTACGCAGCGCGCTTCGCTGCTAGCTCGTTAGCACAGCTTTCCGTTAGAACGTTAGAACCGACGAGCTAGCAGCGAAGCGCGCCGCGTACTGATCGAACGCACAGCGGGACAAAAAATTTAATATCTCCGGAATGAGATGTAAAGGACAAATTTTTGAGTACATTTTATTAAACGGGAATGTTTGCCGCATATTATGACACAAGATTAATTTTTTTTCAGCGTGAAGAACACATACAAAATTTCAATTGTTTATAATGAATGTATGCAAAATTCTTGTATTTAAACAAATTTACCTTAATTATATGACAATTATATAGTCTAAACATTGCTACAATAGTGTGTAAAATTTAATTCAATTATACAGAGTGGTCCAAGAGATTATATTTTTTTAATTTTACTCTGCTCTTAAGTTTGAGAAAATTATGAACTTAAATAACATTAACAAAAAACTGCCAACTACACAATTATGTGATTATTTTCAAAATCGGTGATTTCGTGAAAATTTATGGTCCCACTTGACGTGGCTTGACTCACTATGCTTTTAACAATCCTATGTCATTTGTCAATTTTTGACAGGTCAAATCATTTTTTGATTAAATTTTATTTCCATATCTAGAGGGCCTTGAAATGGCTTTTCTGCTTCATGTTGGGCCAAGTAGTCTGGAAAAAATACAATTTTATTCTTTTTTTGCAATGCTGGTTTTAAGTAGCTTTCAAAAATTCAAAAACCATACTGCCAAAACTATTTTTTTTTAATAAAAGAGGGTGGTTAGTTGGTCATAAAAGAAATACACTTTTTTTAAATTTGAGACCAAATATTAATTAATTTTTTAATAATAGGTATCTCTTTCAAACTCTTAATTAAATTTGTATGTTTTAAAGTGTGTACAGACGTAAATAAATTAAGAAAGCTTTGAAACCTTTATGTTTAAAAGAAGTAAGTATCAGATTTGACAGTTTGTTTGATGGTTGTATAAAATAAAACAAAAATACTAATTGAGGAGGTTAGAATCCAAGGGGTGTATAGTAAATTTAAAAGGAAACGACGTACACGTATCAATCAGCTGATCGGGCGCGGTTGTCAATGTGATGCTAAAATCATTGCGTCAAGTGAAAGTAATAGTGCAACTACAGGGCGATAGATGGCGTTTACATGAATAATAAGATAGGGTCCCTAGATTTGGGACCTTAGAATACCAAAATATCCGCCAAAAGTATGTTTTTATCCATTTTTAAAGACATTTTCAGCTAAAATACCCAGAAATTTTGCCATCTAAAGTCAGTCTCTATTATATATATTATTATTTTATGTACCCAACATATATTTTGTTAAATATTCTAATATATAATTAATAATAATCCTATTTTCCTCTCTAACAGCTGTTAAAGGTAACAAAGGTCCATTATTATCCCGTTCTGCCTCAAAATAGCGTATTGATGATACCAACTCTTGACTCCGACTATTTTAATGCTTTGGTATTTTAAATATAAAATATATAAAAAACAAAAAAACGATATATAGGGGAGCGCCGGGAGGGTTTTGGACACTGGGAGGCATTGGACACATTCATAATTACCGCCTAATTAAAGAAGGGGTGGAAACAGAAACGTAACTAAAAGCGGATTTGAACGTCCCTGATATCTGTCTAGAAGCGAAGCAATCACGTCGTTTCGTTTCGCGGCACTGTCATTTTCCTATTTATCCACGTGTTCATTTAAATATTACAAGTTGTAAACTCTGCTTTTAACAAACTAATTTTGAGATTTTTTGGTTGCTTGATTGATTACCAGTATAAGGAAAACTTTAAAAATTATGGGGTATTGTTACTTTGAAAATGTATAGACATAATTTATAATATTTTGGGTTTTATTAATCGAACTACGTTGCAGGAGGGTATGGACGACCGTCCAAAGAAGTCGTTGTAGATAGCAACTATCTAATAGCTATAAATATATATAATAATAATATAGCTATAATAAAAAAACAAGTGGCTTCCAACCACAGCATTTGTGTCATATGAGGAAGTGATTTTGAAACTATCAAATCCTTTAACAGACCGAAGTGTCAGATATGGACATGATATATTTTAATGTTGATGTTACCGAGTACAGCTTACGTTAATGCTAAAGTTATTGATTAATAAACAATTTTTTACTAAATATTTTATTTGTTTTTAAAGTGTTTTTTGTCAAACAAATGTTTTGCATAATATATTTGCTTAATTATTGTTTGTCCAAACCCTCCCCATCGTTGGGGAGGTATTGGACATAATACATTAAAAAAATATAAGTATTTATTTCATGCTTAGGGAAAGGTGGGGGAATTCTGCGCATCTAAGCAAAATCTCTAGTATCTTTGTTAAGTTTAAATGTGAAATTTTGCAATTAATACCAGCGATAGTCTACTTTGTTTACTATGTGTATATAATGCGCAATTTATAAAAAAAAAATGTTTGGTATGCAAAAACTACATTTTTTTAATAATGCATTTGCGCAAAATTACCCACCCATCAGGGTAATTTTGCGCCTCCTAGTTGGAAAATTTGCGCTGTATAGAGAAAGATTTGTAGGTATCTAAATAAACCGTTTATTTCTATAATATTATTATAATAAAACATAAAAATAAAACAAAACTATTTTCTCTATGAAACAAACAAACAAAATCAAAAATAAATAACTAAAAATAAAATTTTTCTTCTTAGAAATAAGAGGGTCTACATGCAGCATTTGTCACATATGTAGTTTTAGGGTTTTTTTTCGCTACACTCCGCGTGTGCCCAAATGGAACTGTTTATGCTGAACAATCTAGGCTCCTGTATACCAAAGCTCCCATATTGGCCAAATTTTGCAACGCAAAATTACCCCAATTTTTCAGCGCAAAATTACCCCAATTTTTCAGCGTAAAATTACCCCCATTGCAAAAAATATTGTGATACTAAAAAACTTTCCAAAAGTTAACCTGAACAATTTAAACATACACCAGATTACGAGGAAAGATCATATAAAGTTGTGTTATAAACATTTAAGCGATTGGACAAAAATTTAAACTTAACTCGTAGCGGAAACGACATGGATTTCTTAGATCAACGTATATACATGTATCACAGTTACAAGCTACAAGCTTAATTGCGGTACACTTTAGTCCCCTAAGCAAAGCAACGTTTCCAAGTTTGCAACATTCAAAAAATGTATTATTTACTTCATATCTGGAAGAATTGTTTATGCGTAAAATTACCCACCGCGCAAAATTCCCCCACCTTCCCCTATGTCATGTTTTTCCAAAAAACAAAAGAAAAGTGTATGTAAGAGACATGTATGTATCAACCAGTCTGACTACAAAATTTTAGTTATTTTTATACATGTCCACGCCATAATTATTTATTTAAATATTGTCCAAACCCTCCCGGCGCTCCCCTAACAAACACAAAAAACGGCAATGAAAACTTAAACGATATAAAATAACACAAACAACAAACGAAATTATACACGAATTAAACGAAATATTTAAAAACACAACTGACAGCTTCGAAATTCTAAAACGTCAATTTCTTTTCCTTTGCGTCATTTTATTAAGCAAGATTTTAATCTAAACATGACAACATTGCTGCCAACTTAATTTGATGCATTAATGCATTAAAATATTTAATTACAGGCTTCGTTTTATAAATTTAGTATTGGTACGTCGTTTTTTTTTTTAATTTACTATAAGTAATTGCTCAACATTTTTTGGTTTTAAATCTTCTAAAAAAATCATTCAAATATTTTGAAAGGATTATAAAAAGTTATATCTAACCGCCCTATATTGTGGCCATTGTAGGGAATATCTTGCAATAAATAAAAACACGAAAAATGAAATATTTCTAAACATAATTAACATACATGTGCATTAGTCTTTGGACCTCTTAGGCTTAATATTTATTTATTATATAACTGCTCTAAATTAAAAAAAAAAAAAATTTTAGAATAGCCGCACTATTTAGAGTGATCATCTTACCCTATTATAAATATTTTTTAATTATTATGAAAAAGGTATTTCTAGTATTTATAAAAGGGCAAGTTCATATAGTGCGGCTATTCCATTTTCAAAATGGCGAATGCGCCGGGATAAATAAAAAGTTAATTTAAACATTAAATTTTCTTAGTTTCTTTAAGAAACTTTCTTGACCCATTACTAGTAAAATTGAACCTACAAATTCTTATGAATATTACCAGTAAGGGGTCTTAAAGAAAATTGAATGTTTACCTAATGTTTAGCCCGGTTGGGCTAGTTCTAGATTTCTTTAGGCCATATTAGTATCTGTGATACAATTTGCTGTGTGTAGTCTTGGTTACATAGTATGTACCGATTGCGGCAAAGGCCACGTCGCGACGCGTCGTTGACGGTGTGGACCACATGATGTTCTTACATCTCGCCTCTGTTGGCTTACCAACCCAGCATATAAGCTCAGGGAGTCCTTTGTTTTGGGTGTGTTCCACTACACCAAGTTGCCCGACACTGATGAGACCCAATATAGGTCGAAACAACTGTCTGTCGGTATTTAAAGTTGGTGGAAGTTCCACCGTGGAACGCACTCAAAACAAAAAACTTTGGCAAGGTGTAGGTTAAATTTTTTCTTATAAAGTTAATTATTTAGATTAATATAATAGAAAATTACCTAAATATAATAATTATTAAGAATATAAACTTTAAAATTATATTTTTAAAAAATTGATTTATATTTGAATTAACTTTGTAATGTTAAATAATTAAAATATAAAGGTTTAAAATTTTTAAAGGTTGAACCAATAAACACATAAGTTTTAGTTTTATTTATTAAAAATAGCACAAATATACATTAAAACTAATAAATTATTAATATTCCATATTTTCTTTCATAATTTCTTTCATCAACTTTTCGACATTTAATGCTTTCGCCACCGGGGCTTTCAAAGGGAGTTTCTTTCTTTCCAGATTGTTTTCTCTCGAAAATAGCATAACCAAGCAGGGTTTAGAATCTGATTTGGTTTTTCCGTGGGTAACGGACAACTCTACATAATGTTTTGCGTTAATTATCAAACTGGTGTAACAGGTTACTACGTTCCATGTAGTTTCGTTGTACTTTTCCCCGTAAAGTTGTATATAAGCTTTCGCCCTATTTTCATCGTCTGGGTAAATTTCATAGGCTGTTTTAAACAATTCCACTGCATCAACGATGTATTCAATTGAGGGGACGGATGAATTAGCAGTAGCGTGGATCTATAAATAAAAGAAATATTTAATTTACATGGGTTTTTTAATTTAAAAATAAAAACACTTACGAGTACGGCACCAGTGTCCTTGTCAGAACACTGAATAAATGCAGCGCCGATTACAATAAAAAAAATACACACAAAGCGTTTGTGTTCCATTTTTACTATTTAATAAATTTCCCAATACTATACCGACAATTGATTTCACGTTACTTTTATATCGTTTTTATTTACTCTTTAAGTGGGTATGATTCAAACATTTACAAATTCTTTTTTGGTTATCTTAATACAAAACGAAATAATATTTACCCACTGGCTCTAATAGGAACCACTTATAAATTATCTTAAGTTGTTTTTTGATTGTTATCAATTACCTACCAATTATGGAAATTTAAAATAAAAAATTAAATATATCTTTAATATTTTTAGCACTTTTTTATTAATTCTTAAATTAAATGATAATTTGAATTGTATAGAATGTTTAATAGGTTTAAAAAGGTAAATTATCTATATTAATTATATCCTAAGTAATAGCATTTACAAAATCATTACAATGTGCGATTATTTTTTAAACACAGAAGGATAAATCCCGGTCAACATTTAACGTAACACAGTTTTGCCGTTATGTAACATAGGAGTAACATTGTAATGTTACTTGCAACGCAACAGTTACCTAAAATAATGGTAACATTGTTACCGTCTCCAGTTAACCAACATGCAATATAACAATAACGTAACATTGCGATACTATTGTAATGTAACAAAAGTACCAATAAGCAAAGTAACAACCATGTAACATTGTGAAGCTATTGTAATGTAACAAAATTACCAATAAGCAATATAACAGCAACGTAACATTGTGAAACTATTGTAATGTAACAATATTACCAATAAGCAATATAACAGTAACGTAGCATTGTGAAATTATTGTAATGTAACAAAATTACCTATAAGCAATATAACAGTAACGTAACATTGTGAAAATATTGTAATGTAACAAAATTACCAATAAGCAATATAACAGCAACGTAACATTGTGAAACCATTGTAAGAACTTATGCAAGCTGTAAAAAACTATTTGGTTATAACCTATAGGGTGAAAAGTTACTATAAGTACCTAACAGAAAATTGGGTACCTATACCAAAAATCGAAAATATTCAATGTTAGGTTAGGTTGGGTGTTGGAGTTTCTGTTCATATTTCTGCTGTCTGCTACAGCATAGCCAGGCATATTTTAAATAGTTATTAGTTCTAACAAATGTAACACAACCTTAATAAATAACCTGCACCTTGTAAATAGTTATTCGTGTTCAATAAATGCAGTAAAAACTTTACGAAAAACGTTGCAAAACGATCGCGCGTGGCTTATACTTTAAAAATGCACAATAATTTCGGAAAAAACTCAAAAGAAATCGTAGTAATACACCCTTGCATAGCGTATGCCTATGCAAAACTGTTTGTTACATTTGAATCTAGTTCGCACGTGACGTCGACTAGTTTTCTTTTCATAACCAGCATACCGGTTTTTGTGTATCGTGGGTTTAACGTAATTTGGAGTGCACATTGTGTAATTTATCCCCTTCATTCTCAACAGTTACTGTCATGGTTTGAGGACTTCAAGCGTGGTCGAACCTGTACTGAAGGTAAAACGAAACCAGGGGAGTCTGATACCACTAAGAAAAAGTAGACTAAGCTGCGTTGGAAAATCGGAAGTGAAAATTGAACGAAAATTGTGTAAATTAAATCCTATGGAATATAATATATTTTTTCTACTCCTATTACGGAATTTGACCATTCTAATATCACTTTTATCTATGGCATGCAGTGACGGATTTACACATTTTCAAGGTATAGGCTGAATAGTTTTTGCCGCCCTTGCCTCAACAATTGTCATATCATACATTATTTTTACAATGCAACAATTTCGTTGAAACTGCACGTAAAATAATTTTTCGGTATATTTTTGAGCTAATCGAAGCTCAATCATGTATGGGCGGGGTAATGTATGCTATTTACACAATAATGAACATTTGGTAAACGTAAATAAATAATCTTTATTGCGCTTTCAAACAGTTAAAAATAATTGACTCAGTCATATTTTTTACAATTTTGCTCTTTTCACTCATAAGAAGTGTGGGCAAAGGGCGCAGAGGCGAGAGGCCGATTACTGGTTGAGGGGCGGCGAACTAGCTGTTTTACTCTAGAATATGAAAGTTTGCTACTCTCGGAATGTGCAATGACAAGTGAGAGAGAAAAGTTATCGACAAAATTTGTTGCAGACTTCTATCTGTAAGACATCAGAAAACCGTCATAGAAAAATCTTTTTTCTTACTACCTCGGCCGAAAATACAACCCGGCCGAAAATACGGGAAAAAATTAAATGTGTATTTATGTACCTATCTCCATTTGAAGAGCTCTGAAATAGTTAAATTAGTAAATTTAAATTTAAAAAAAGTTTTGACCCAGCCTGGGATTGAACTCACGTCTGCACTTGAGAAGCTTGTCAACCTAACCTCATAACCAGTCGGCTGTCAGCCGCTCTTATAAAAATAAATTTTATTTGTCGATAAATATTGTTCATAATATTTTAAAGTTTAATATATTATTTGTGTTACTGTTTTGAGCTAAACTTTTTGCATCTTTATTTGTTTTATGGGTCATTTAACCATGGAGAGGTATATGCATTTAATTCAAATAATACTTTGTTGTTGGCCGTAAACGATTAAAGAAATTAGTTACTTTTAACTGTCAGAAATAGTCAAATATGGTGACTAATCTTAAATTAGTCAAACTTTAACTATTTACGTAGTAAAAAATAACTATTTAAAAGTGAAAACGACTATTTTATTAGTAAAAAATGCTGGTACTAATTCAAATAGTAGAATTTTTACTATTTCATTTTTAGATTTTTTTTTACCTCATATATGAGGTAAAAAAAAATCGTTCCCCAAATTTGCCGCCCCCAATATCTGCCGCCCTAGGCTCGAGCCTACTCAGCCTGCTGGTAAATCCGCCACTGATGGCATGACATATATTCCGTAAAGTGTTACAGAATGAAATATTCTATCATCGGATGACAGAATAAACACTCCTGGCGACATCTCTGTTTTATCTAACAAATTTTAGACCGATCCAACCTCATGAGGTTTAATTGAAAGAAAGTGCACTTTCTTCCAATTAAATTATTTTTCTATGGTATTTTTTGGAAACGTAGAAAAAGTATAGTCTGAAACACGTTTGGAATTGCATATTCCGCTCTCGTGAAACCGTCAAACTCGCCTTCGGCTCGTGTGACAAACTCTTCACTCGAGCGGAATATGCTGTATTCCAAACTTGTTACAGAATATACTAATCTGGTTAAAACTAGATGTCTCAATTTTTGCCATAATGAGATGAGCACACTGGGCATTGTTAGAAACAAAATTTCTCATAAAAACACCATTTTAACTAAAAATGCTAAAGTGCTGCCTTAAAAATTTGTGATTCCAAAATACCTATCTAGTTTTTCCAAATGGTACAGATATGGTTTTAACCTTACACACGAATCCACAATGTGAGTACAATGCGTTTGCTCACTCTTGTACAAGAGGACTGCTGCCATTTTTGCTAGATTTGCCTCCTTTTGACTTTATAAAATCATTGAGATATTTCGGTTTGCAAACTGAAATATTTAAATCTTTGAACATTTGATAATAAGCGTAATACAGACGGCGGCTGTCAAGATGGAATTATTGTTCTGGTAAAATGCGCGAACGCAAAAAACGCGTTGCAGATGGTTCCTTTAAGCCGTGTCTACAATTGTCGCAAAAGGCAGAAAATAGGACATAAGCCTGTCATACACTTAAAAAAAAAATTATGTAAATTTACCACGATCCATCGATAATCCAGTAAATTTGCAACAACAAAGTAATTTTACAAAACAGTATTAAAATTACATTGTAATTTTACACCCATATAATTAAATTTACAAAGTAAAATTCCTATAGTTCAAATAAAATCATATTGTAAAATTACTAGATTTCATGTAAATTTACAATGTAAAGTCCCTATAGGAACTATAGTTAAAATAAAACTATAATGTAAAATTACTGACTTTAATGTAAATTTACAAATACTTAAAAATGTAAAATTCCTTCTTTAGTAAAATCACAATGTAATTTTAATTTACAACATATTATAACATTAAAAAGTAATGAAATAACAAAATATTTTTTCAGGATTATTCATTTAATAGAAGTTGTTAAGAAAATTTAAAAAACGATAATTGATTGATATTTACTTACCTGCAAAAACTACATGTATTTTTTATTACTAAATATTATTGTTTTTATTATGATTAAGAAGTAATAAACTGTTTTTAGGCAGATAATATTTTATTTAACTTTATCTATAAATATATAAGTAAGTTTTAAAACGGTTGTAGTTTTTAAGAACACATCTACAGTTCCGATATAGACACGTAAACACTGCTCCTGGTGTATTTCTATGCAATTGAAGATGAGTGTTATATTTTTTTAAAGAACATAATTTAATTTCGCAAATACTACAGGTTAACATTGTCTAAAACAATTATGAATTAATTATGCATCTTTAACTAAGTTTAAAGTACTTACCAATAGTAAAAGACCTTATCGAAAACTGTGCACATAAAAACACGTTCATCTACTAAACACAATGGCTGACAACAAAGACGTTTTGGAAGCGGATGCAACCTGCATCACGATTTGGCGCGCGGTAATTGGTTGGAATTTACAATAAAACTTGTAATTTTACATGCGAATAGTAAAATTACAAAAACTATGCAAATATTACAAATTGATATGTATTTAAAACAATAATAATGTAAATATAACAAAATGAAATGTATTTTTACATAACAAAACTTAATATTCCATTGTAAATTCACAAAAATTATTAATTTTACAAGAAACTGTGTATAATTTCATAAATTAACTTGTGATTTAATTTTCACATTATAATATTTGTAAAGTGTACATGTTTAAACTAGTAAATGTGTTGTAAATTTACAAGAATTTTTTTGAGTGTAGGGCACTGTGCACTGTAAAAAATATTACATGAATATCCATGGCATTAGGTAACCTATATTAAATCATGTAATTTTACTAACCATATGTAAATTTCCAATATGATATGTGATATTACAAATTATATTATTTGTGTATTTCCCATATTTTA